CGAGAACCGGGCTGCTTTGGCTCGCAGGGCCCTCGATTCCTTCGGATCCGTGGGTAGTTTTCCATCTTTCAAATAGTCAATATATTTATTTCTCCAGTCCCATGTTAGGCTAGTGGAATTAATCTCGGCATGACCCTCCTCAACCACTGATTTGGATAGCTGAACAACGGCCCCGGGAAGTAGGTCATCTTCTTCAACAGATGATCCCAGGTTTACGAGGGCATCAGCCTCGCCGTTCTGCTCTCGAGGTATATGGACCAGGGTCCATTCTCTAAAACGGCATAATGTGACTTGGATTTTGTCTAAGTATCTTTGCATCCTATCTTCTTGGACCTCGAAGCTCCCATTTACCTGATTTACTACCAGGAGTGAATCGCATTTTGCTTTGACGATCTCAGCTCCCAGGCTTTTGGCCAATTCTAGACCTGCAATCATAGCCTCATACTCGACTTCGTTGTTAGTCAATCTTGTAGATTTTATAGATTGTCTGATCATGCCACCCGTAGGCGGCTTCAGGACTATACCGAGTCCGGATCCTCGCACGTTCAAGGAGCCATCAGTGAACAGGGTCCACACCCCGAAAGATGTGCCCGCTTTTGGTAAAAGTTCCTTTTCTACCTCGGGCACGAGGGAGGGCGAGAAGTCAGCCACGAAGTCCACTAGAATTTGGGACTTGATGGCCGTTCGGGGTTGATACTCGATATCATAACCCCCGAGTTCGATAGCCCTTTTGGCCAATCGGCCCGATAGTTCAGGCTTGTGCAATATGCTTCGGAGAGGGTACGCTATTAAAACGCAAATACGGTGGCATTGAAAATAAGGTTTCAATTTTCGCGATGCGCTTATTAACGCAAGAGCTAATTTTTCCAAGTGCGGATACCTGGTTTCGGCATCCCCCAAGGTCCGACTTACATAATAGACAGGTAATTGCGTACCTTCCTCTTCTCGAACTAGCACACCGCTTACCGCTATCTCGGATACGGCCAGGTATAAATACAGCATTTCATCCTCATTTGGTGTGTGGAGCAAGGGCGGACTAGTCAGATATCCCTTCAATTCCTCCAAGGCGTGTTGGCATTCTGGAGTGCATTCGAAGTTGCTTTTCTTTTTGAGTAAAGATAAGAAATGATGACTCCTGTCTGATGACCTCAATATGAATCTGCCCTGAGCCGCTACCCGCCCTGTGAGCCGTTGCACGACCTTTACATTATTTATCATCGCGATTTCTTCGATGGCCTTGATTTTATCGGGGTTGATCTTGATCCCCCTGTTTGACACCATGAATCCTAAGAATTTGCCCGAACCCACTCCGAAGGCACATTTTTCGGGGTTAAGCTTCATGTTGTAACTTCTGAGGATGTCGAATATTTCCTGCAAATGAGTCAAATGGTCCTCTGCGTGCAGGGACTTAACTAGCATGTAATCAATATAAACTTCCATACATTTTATTAACTAGACGTTCGTACATAGCCTCTGCGTTTTTCAGCCCGAAGGGCATTACATTGTAACAGTAGGCACCATACTTCGTGATGAACGGAGTCTTTTCCCTATCCCTGGGGTTCATCTGAGTTTGATTATACCCTAAGTAAGCGTCAAGAAAAGTGAGGGTCTCGTGGCCGGCCGTGGCATCGATCAGACGATCGATGTTAGGCAATGGGAATGAATCCGTGGGGCACGCCTTATTTATGTCTTTATAATCTACGCACATTCTTAACTTATTTCCCTTTTTGGGTACTACCACTACATTGGCCAGCCATTCTGGGTATTTTACCTCTCTAATGGACCCTATTTTAAGGAGTTTCATTACCTCGTCCTTGATGAATGCGTGTTTTACTTCGGACTGGGGCCTTATTTTATGCGCCACCGATATGAACCTGGGGTCGACACTCAGTCAATGGGTGGTTATCTCCAGCGAGATTCCGGTCATATCTAAGTGGGTCCAAGCGAAACAGTCGATGTTATTAATAAGGAATTGAATGAGTGTTTTCTTGAGTTCGGGGGTTAGACCCGTTCCTAGGTATACCTTCCGATCTGGGAGATGTTCGATCAAAATAGCTTGCTCCAGCTCTTCAATTGTCGATTTCGTTGCATCCGACTCTTCGGGGGCAACGAAAGTTCGGGGATCTAGGATCTCTTCTTCATCAACCTCGGGGGTCTGCACGCTTTTCGACTTATCCGAGGTAGAGTGTGCAGGATTCGACGCTTCCCATTAAACCACGAACATTTCTTTTATTGCATGCAGTTCTCCATATACGGTTGTTATACCGTCCTTTATTGGAAACTTCATCATCTGGTGCAGAGTTAACGGTACTGCCCTCACGTTGTGTATCCATGGCCTGCCGAGAAATGCGTTGTACCTCATGTCACCATCGATGACGTGGAACTTGGTGTTCTGAACTGTACCAGACATGTCAACCGGGAGGGCGATCTCCCCTTTCGTTACCTCGCTAGCCATGTTGAAGCCGTGGATGACCCGGGAGGTGGGTACGATCTGATCGAGCAACCCAAGCTGTTCTACTACCTCTGACCTGATTACGTTGGCCGAGCTACCTGGATCCACGAGCACATGTTTAATTCGAATGTTACTTAAGAAAAATGAAATTACCAGTGCGTCGTTGTGCGGTTGCATCAAGGTCTCGAAATCTTCCTCGCTAAATGCGAAGGTGTTTTTGATCATGTGGTCTCGGATCGGCCCTTCTATTGCAGCGGATATTTTTATCCATTTGATCACGGTTCCTTGGGGGATGTCGGTCCCTCCGATGATCATATGGAAGACATGCTGAGGAATCTCTCTTTTTGCCCAGGTCGGATTTCTCTGAGATTCTTGCTGAATCTCTCGATGTGCGCTCTTGTTAATGTGAGGACCGGTTCCGGGGATTGTACCCTCGGGGATCGGTTCCGGTGTACTCTCAGGATTTTGCGGTGGCACACCAAACCCGGAATGACCATATTGTCCTTTCCATAGTCTTTGAGGCTATTATTTTCAGGTACATTTACTGGTTTAGGCATCTTGACCTGAAATCAAAGATCTTGGACAAGAAAAAGTGCGAAAGATAACTTGCGTTATGTAGCGAACTAGAAAGAAAATAATCATTATTATTTTTAGCCCCACGGTGGGCACCAAACTGCTTACCGTAAAAATGGTAATTACAATTAGATTTGATTTTGTGGTTCTAAAAATACATGATCTATTTTTATGCTAGTTGTTTAGGCAATAAATGCTAAGTAAAAGATTAGAAATCGAGATTATGGCTTAGAGACGATATGATAACCGAACCAAACGGCTGGAGATCGGGGCCTCGAGCTGTCGTGTATGAGGCCTCGGGGTCGAGTTGGGTGACCGACTTAGAGCGATCGAGGGAGGGCTAACAGTTATGAGAGTTGCGATGATGGCTCTTTATGACCAACGACAAGCAATAAATGAAGAACAATAAATAGAACACAATGAATATAAGCAATAAATGGTGTAATGAGAGCGAGATAATATGTTAGAGAGTAGAGAGAATGTTCTTGGGTATTTTCTATTGAATATCAGATGTCTGCAAAATGACAAGGACCCCCCTTTTTATATGAGGGAGGAACCTAACATTGTACAAATGCATTTATTACAAAGCTAGATAGCTGACACAGCTACCTAGTGATCTGGTGCAGACTGGTACTATTCTTGCAGGTGATTCCAGTTGGGACTACGTGCCTAGGGAACTTCCCGCTTACCCTCGATAACCACCGACTCATGCTACATCGAGGTCGAGTGTGAAGAGCCTTCGAGGTCGAGTGTAAAGATCCTTCGAGGTCGAAGCCTCGAGCTGCGTCCCCGGATCTTCGGGGCTTTTTTGAAGCTAAGGGAGAGACGCAATGATCGCGAAATCGGGCCTCCAATCTCGCCCGTATACAGTACCTATTTTTACCGGACCTTTTTTCAGTTTCCGCCCGCCTTGAACTTACTCTTTCATCTTTCTGAGACTGAGTGATAGTATCTTCTTCTATCCGCAGCTTTGTGTTGTATCTATGGTAAACATCATTCCAAGTTGTTGCAGGAAATTCTCGTAAGTTTTCTTTGAGTCTTCTCGTGGCTTCCGAGCTTTTTTCATTTAGATTACTGGCAAATGCCATAGCCACGCACCTTAATCCGTTAGGTGGCGACTCTTCAATCTCATACCCTATTCCCAAAAGGAAAGGAGTTGTCCCAAAGTGTCGAAACCTGGACTCCACGAGAAAAAAGGGGGCGCGACAGCATGGCGACTCTGTTGGGGATATTTTAGGCTCTTACCATAACGAACTTATTTTTGTGAATTAGTCTTAAGCATGTTTTATTCTGTTAACACATGCGCACCCTTTCCCTTTCCCCTTTATTTGGATTTAATTGCTTATTTCTCAAGCATTTACGATTTCCTTTATTTCCCGAAACTGACTTGTCTCCCTGTTTTTTTTTTGTAACTGTCTTTCAATTATTTAAATGATGCATTTATTATTTTTTAAACATGCAAATACTTGACAACATGCTATTTATTGTTGCATAAATCATGCTCAACATCATATTCCACTCGTGCGTAATCAATCCTATAGCAACGCTTGATGAGTGTTTGCGCTCTTCCTATATATCACCCTTTTAAATTTGGAAAGGCGTATTTGCAGAAAAACTAGTCGATCAGCGGTGCATTCGACGGTTCCGTGCCTTTCCCCCTCAAGTTGTCCGCTTGAGGGTATCGGTCTAGACCTCTATAGCAACCTTACTCTGATCAATTGTGCATGCATCATGGTCAAACCTAGCCGGGTTAATATGTTGTCCACATAATAACCCTTTAAGACAAGCCTCGCCCAAAAGTCCATCGGGTTTTTCATAATCCCAACGGACGCAACCTCGATTGTGTGCATTAATTTTGGAGAAATAAATGCCAATATGCTAATCACTGTTGTATAAATAGACGAACCTGGAGGGGGAAAGGGCCTAACTATATTTTGTTTTGCAAAAAATGAGGCACGAAGTCCCCAGGTTCGGCATGGTACGTATCATACCACCACTGTTGCTAGATTGGTGGGATTGCCAGAACGCCGAAGGAAGCGAAGGAGGACATTTGGCAAGGGCATTCTTACTGTTGAACCTGTGCGAACTGGGGGAGCTGATCGACAAGAGCATCCAGCCTGAAGAAGGTCCTTCGGGGACTAAGTATATTAGGTTTACTTGCTTTCTAAATGTAATAAGGCCAAGTGCCATTAGTGACATTATCTTATTTAGAATCGTTTTGGGTCGTCTATTTTTTACATTAATGAAATGAGGCAATTATTGGCACTAAATTTCTCCAAATCTATTTGTCTCTAGGCCTACATCGGGCACAACGGGGCTCCCAAATTAGCACGCGAATTTACATTCCCGCAATATGTGCTTAAATACTGCAAACTTTTCAGAATTACTACTGACTTGGCTACCTTTTGTTTTTCTTTCTTTCTTTTGATTATTCCCATTCCCCAAAGGTTGGTTCGTGCATACTGGCATCATCAACTTATCACACAAGATCCAGGGGCCCTCCAACTTCTCCTCCTCCTAGTCCACCAAAAGGCAAGGGAAAAGCAAAAAGATTTGAACGGCACCAGAAAAGAAAACAACACACAGGTTTAACATGAAGAAACTTCTGATGGTCGGGGTACTCAGACGCCAAATGAAGCAGTTTCACGGCTCGAACAGAAAATACTGGAACTCCAGGGTGAGCTTAAGCATGTCCGGAATGTGGAAAACCTTTCCTTATCACTTAGCGTCCCAGACATCAGTCATCCAAACACTCAGAACCCCGCACCACCTCAAAACTCACCCAACAAGCGCCCACAAAATCCTCCCGTACCTCACCATTATATAACTCCACCACAAAATCAAACTATCCCACCACAGTACCAGCCAAATGCCTACTATACTCCACAAAATACTCCACCAGTCATTCCTGAACCCCAGAATTCCACCAATGGTCACCACTATACTCACACTCCAGGTCACCTAAACAACCCTATATATGTGGAGACCCTACCTCACTCCACTCAACCCATCTCCTATGAACCGGAATCTGTTGAGAAGGACATGCTCATTAAGAACCTAGCCGAGGAGCTCAAGAAGTTGACCAGCCGAGTTCAAGGCGTAGAAGGAGGCAAGGGGATAGAAGGTCTGAACTATGAAGACCTATGCATACAGCCGAATGTAGAACTGCCAGAGGGTTACAAACCTTCCAAGTTCGAGATGTTTGACGGTACAGGTGATTCCGAGGTTCATCTAAGGACCTATAGTGACAAGCTTGTCGAGGTCGAAAAAGATGAAAAGATCTGAATAAAGCTTTTTATGAGGAGTCTTACAGGAGATGCCTTGTCCTGGTACATCAGCCGGGATCCTAACAAATGGTTCAACTGGGTGAGTATGGCATCTGATTTCATGGACCGATTCAAGTTCAACACGAAGAATGCACCAGATGTCTTCTACATTCAGAACCTCAAGAAGAAGCCCACCGAGACTTTCCGCGAGTATGCTACTCGTTGGAGGTCAAAAGCGGCCAAAGTCAGGCCAGCATTGGACGAGGAACAGATGAACAAGCTCATTTTCAGAGCACAGGATCCGCAATACTATGAAAGGTTGATGGTTATTGAAAACCATAAGTTCCCTAACATCATCATACTTGGTGAAAGGATCGAAGCAGGCATCAAGAGCAGGATGGTAACAAACTTTAAGGCATTGCAGGCCACTAATAAAGCATTGCAGTTAAAGGGTATATCTAAGAAGAAGGGCGTGGGAGCAGTAATGGTCGCCCAAGGACAAACTCCATTCGTAATACATGTATGCGGCCAAAATCGAAAAGGCCGATTTCATGATCGACGAGACTTTGCGCAATATCACCCCGAGGGACCGAGGAAATAGCTCGAGGTTCGAAGCCTTCGAGGTCTCTTCTTGCCCGACATCGGGGTAGAATGAACCAGTGGTTCTCACTAGTGGGTGGGAAGTTCCCTAGGAGCATTACCTTTTTTGACGATGCATACGGGAACAGTGATAGCCTACGCCAGATTGATTGAGTGATCGTACCAGTTATTTATATAATAAATGCACTTGTACAATAGCAGGGTTCCCCCCCCCCCATCTATAAAAGGGTTCCTTACCATTTTGTAAGAGACATCTGATATGTAAGAAACACACAAGATACTTCATTCAATACAAGAACATTCTTTCTTCTCTCTAACTTAAACATATTCTCTATTTAACTCTGTTGCTTACATTTATTGCTTTATTTACATTTATTGTATATCATTAATTGTTCTTCATTTATTGCTCGTTATTGGCCATAAAGAGCCGCAATCATAACCCTGATAGTTGTTAATCCCCATCGACAGCCCTCAGTCGGGCGTCTAACTCAGCATCAAGGACCCGCACGTGCTAGCTCGAGGCCCCGATTCTCAACCATTTGGTTTGGTTCCTAAAGACATCTTTAATCTCTTATAGTGTTTTCTAATCTCGTCGTTCAGCATCCACTGCTAAACAACTAGCATAAAAATAGATCACATATTTTTAGAACAACAAAATATAATCTAATTGTTATTACCATTTTCAAGGTAAATAGTTTGGCGCCCACCGTGGGGCTAAAAATAATAGTGATTATTTGCTTGCTGGTTCTCTACATAATGCAAGTTATCTTTCACACCTTTTCTTGCCCAAGATCTTTGATTTTAGGTCAAAATGTCCAACTCAATAAACGCGCGTAAGAACAACAGAGCCAATTTCTACCATATGGTCTCATGCAACTCTCAACGCGTTGGCATAAGTTCCCACACCAACAGGAGTGCACGACGAGAAAAAAACCCCACTTGGGAAGAAAGAAAGGCAAACAGGGAGAGTGAAGCGGAAGAACGTTAGCACGTCGTCCATATAATTATAGGAGGAACCGAAGTTCCCCAGGGACCCGTGGTCAAGCGAATAAAGGTTTCTGCGGCAATACAAGGACAAACTCAAGGTCGTGTAGCTGGGAATGTCCTCGCGTTCAGTGAAGAAGACTTTGAGACTCTGTCTCATCCGCACAACGATGCGCTGGTAATCTCGTTTCTCTTGAACAACATTCGAATCAAACATGTACTCGTGGATCCAGGTAGCTCAGCCAATATAATCAGATCAACGGTGATAGAACAGCTCGGATTGCTCGACCGGATCATACCTACCTCCCGAATCCTCAACGGCTTCAATATGGCCAGCGAAGCAACAGAAAGAGAGATCATCCTCCCGATAAACATATCTGATGCAGTCCAAGATACTAGATTCCACGTCATTAAAGGTGACGCAAGGTACAATGCCTTGCCCGGTAGGCTGTGGATACATAACATGAAGGCGGTACCATCGACGTTGCTTCAGATGATGAAGTTTCCAGCAAAGGATGGAATAAGGACAGTGTATGCGAGCAACATGCGATAAAGGAAATGTTCGCGTCCATGAAGAGGTACCGGATCCCATACACTCCACCTCGAAAGAGTTGGAAAGCCAAAAAAACCTCGAGGATGATGAATAGGACTTCCTCACTCCCAGAACCTTCATTACCCCCGAAGAAGCGGATGCAACAAAGTCGACTGTGGAGGAATTGGAGCAAGCCGTATTGGTTGAGCATCTCCCAGATCGGAAGGTATACTTGGGGACGGGATTAACCCCCGAACTCAGGGAAAACTCAATTTATTCCTTATTAATAAGATGGATTGCTTTGCTTGGTCCCATCTAGACATGACGAGGATCCCACCGGAGATAACCACCCATCGACTAAGTGTCGATCCCAGGTACAAACCGGTGATACAAAAAAGAAAACCCCAGTCCAAGATAAAGCATGCGTTCATCAAAGACAAGGTATCGAAGCTCCTCAAGATATGGTCAATTAGGGAAGTAAAATACCCCGAATGGCTGGCCAATGTAGTGGTAGTTCCCAAAAAGGGGCATGCCCAAAGGACTCGTTCCCACTGCCCAACATCGACTGTTTGATCGATGCCACGGCCGGCCATGAAACCCTCACTTTTTTCGATGCCTATTCGGGGTATAACCAAGCTCAGATGAACCCAGAGGATAGAGAAAAAACCTCGTTCATCACAAAGTACAGTACGTACTGCTACAATCTAATGCCCTTCGGGCTAAAAAATGCAGGGGCCACATACCAACGCCTAGTTAAAAGATGTTCGAACATCAAATAGGCAAATCCATGAAAGTTTATATTCATGACATGCTAGTTAAGTCCCTGTGCCCAGAGGACCATTTGACTCATTTGCAGGAAACGTTCGACATCCTCAGAAGTTACAACATGAAGCTCAATCCCAAGAAGTGCGCCTTCGGGGTAGGCTCCTTTGGCTTCATGGTATCGAACAAAGGAATCGAGATCAACCCCGACAAAATCAAAACCATCGAAGAAATTATGGTGGTAAACAATGTAAAGGTCGTGCAGCGACTGACCGGGCGGATAGCAGCCTTGGGTCGGTTTATATCAAGGTCGTCAGACAGGAGTCACCATTTCTTCTCCTTGCTCAAAAAGAAAAACAACTTTGAGGACTCCGGAATGCCAACGTGCCTTGGAGGAGTTGAAGCGATACTTAATAGCATGCTTTTGCTCCACACCCCAAAAGAGGGTGAAACATTGTATTTGTACCTGGCTGTATTCGAGATAGCGTTAAGTGGTGTACTGTTTCGAGAAGAACAAGGTACGCAATTCCCTGTTTATTATGTAAGTTAGACCCTGGGTGATGCGGAAACCAGATATCCACACCTGGAAAAGCTAGCGCTCGCATTAATAAGTGTGTCTCGAAAATTGAAACCTTACTTCCAATGTCATCGTATTTTCGATTTAACAACATATCCCCTAACATACTGCATAAACCCAAATTATCAGGCCGGCTGGCCAAATGGTCCATTGAACTCGAGGGATACGATATCGAGTATCAGCCCCGAACGGCTATCAAGTCTCAAATTTGGCAGACCTTGTAGCCGACTTCATTCCCTCCCTCGTACCCGAGGTCGAGAAAGAACTTTTGCTAAAAAAGAGCACATCTTCCGGGGTATGGACCCTGTTCAGTGACAGCGCCTCAAACGTAAGAGGATCCGTGCTCGGCATAGTTCTAAAGCCACCTACGGGCGGCGTGATTAGACAATCTATAAAAACCGCAAGGTTAACTAACAATGAAGCCGAGTATGAGGCTATGATTGCAGTTCTAGAATTAGCCAAAGGCCTAGGAGCTGAAGTCGTTGAAGCAAAATGCGATTCTCTCTTTGTGGTAAATCAGGTAAATGGAGCTTCGAGGTTCAGGAAGACAGGATGCAAAGATACTTGGACAAAATTCAAGTCACATTGCACCGCTTCAAAGAATGGACTCTGGTTCATATACCTCGAGATGAAAACAGCGAAGTCGATGCCCTCGCAAACCTGGGGTCGTCTGTCGAGGAAGATGACATACTCCCTCGATCTGTTGTTCAACTATCCAAATCAGTGATTGAGGAAGGCTATGCCGAGATAAAGTCCACTAGCCTCACATGGGATTTAAGAAATAAATATATCGATTATTTGGAAAGTGGGAAGCTACCCGTAGACCCAAAAGAGTCGAGCGCCTTGCGAACCAAAGCGGCTTGATTCTCGCTCGACGAAAACGAAACTCTTTACAGAAGAACTTTCGATGGCCCCCTAGCAGTGTGTCAGGGGCTAGGAGACACAGACTACGTGCTCCGAGAGATCCATGAGGGCACCAGCGGAAATCACTCCGGTACCGATTCCTTAGTTTAAAAATAATCAGGGCAGGCTACAATTGGGATAGCATGGAGAAAGACTCCAAAGAATTCGTCCGCAAATGCGACAAATGCCAGAGATTCGCCCCAACGATCCACCAACCTGGTGAACAACTACATTCAGACCTGTCACCGTGGCCGTTCATGAAAGGGGGATGGACATCGTCGGAACTCTGCCAACGGCGCCAGTAAAGCTAGATTTATTTTATTTATGACTGAATACTTCTTAAAATGGGTTGACGCACAGGCCTTCGAAAAATAAGAGAAAAAGAAGTCATTAATTTCATCTGGGACCATATCATGTGCCGATTCAGAATTCCTTCCGAAATAACGTGTGATAACGGGAAGCAATTCATCGGAAGCAAAGTGACTCATTTCCTCGAGGACCACAAGATCAAAAGGATCCTATCAACGCCCTACCACCCATGTGCAAACGGCCAAGCCGAGTCCAAAAATAAAACCATCATTCAAAACTTAAAGAAGAAGTTAGAAAGCACAAAATGTAGATGAAGAGAAATATTACCCGAAGTACTCTGGGCATATCGAACAACCCCAAAATCAAGCATAGGGGAAATGCCTTTCTCCCTGGTATATGGCGCCGAGGCTTTGATACCGGTCGAAGTCGGAGAACCTACCTCCAGATTCCGACACGCCACCGAGAGCTTGAACAATGACGCCATGACTACTGCTCTAGAACTATTAGATGAAAAGCGAGAAGCCTCGTTGGTCCGAATAGCCGCACAGAAATAGAGGATCGAAAGATACTACAACCGGAGAACAAATCGCCGACATTTTGGAATCGGGGACTTAGTCCTAAGGAAAGTCACCTTGAATACTCGAAATCCTAACGAAGGAAATCTAGGTCAAAACTTGGAAGGACCGTACCGCGTCCTCGGGGTGGTTGTCAAAGGGTCCTCCAAACTTAGCACCATAGAGGGCCAACATATTCTAAGCAATTGGAATGTATCGATGCTCAAACGCTATTACTGCTAAAATCTCAAAGTCCTTAGGTTTTACAGGCATGCGTTGCACTATTTTCCTTCGATCGGGTTTTATCCCAAGAAGGGTTTTTACCGAAAAGGTTTTTAATGAGGCAACATCTATATGCTACCAAGGAAGACCCAACAAGTATTCAAGGCTTCTCTTCAATCAACCTCGAATACTGGGGGGCATCCCCCACCCCCCCGGAAGGTTGCCTTCTCGGAGAAACCGAGACATGATAAATAGGGTCCTGATAGGAAAATGATGTGCCGAGCCAAACGGTCAAACGAACCGTGCCCGTATAGAACAACTGAGCCCCTGACAGCAAAAACATGTATACTTGTACCAAGTTATCACAAAATAGTTTTTTCCCCTCCAACAAAGCACCACACATGCCAAAGAAGTTTGCTATTTTTACAAAAATGGCTCTAGAGCCACGAAAACTTTCAATGTCTCGGGGACTGTCACCAATTGACATCCCATCGACTTATCAAAAACCCGAGGCCATAAGACCCCATGTAGGCAACCTCGATCTTGTAAGACCTATATAAAGCAACAACAATATCTGTAAGCCCTCATGCAAGGCATGAACCATACTTGTACCAAGTAACAAAACTGTAAGACCTCAAAGTAAGGCATGTAAAATTTTATAAGACCTCACAAAAGGCATAATCACGATCTTAAAGTTAAGGCTATATATCGAACTTATAAGACCCCTGAAAAGGCATGCCCTTGATATAAACGCCAAAAACTACTTCAATCGGGGACTGAAAGTCTCCAGCCAACACAATGACTACGGTCACAAGGCACAGCCAAACTAACGCGACTCGTGGACGCCCGACCGTCGCTACGAAATCACAGGCCTTCAATTACTTCGAAAGAACTTCGAAAAGAACTGGTTAAAATAGGCTACCCTTGACATAGGAAAAAGAGCTTCGACCATGTCAGCTCCAAAACTACAGGCATCGAAACACTCGCCCACCGAGCAAAACCTCCCGAGGTGCTCGATCACCACCACATAACGACTCGAAATTGAGGTTTTACTGAATCGTCGAAGAGTCAGGCAAACGCAAATTCAAAAATTCTTAACGAGGGAAGAATTAAGCTTATACAAAAGGTCATACCGACCTAAAGCGTAAGAGCCAGTACCGCCAGCTCATGTAAAAGGTCGTACCGACCTAACGCGTAAGAGCCTAAGGGCCAGCTTTTAATTCAAAAACATAAGGGTCAATAAGCTCGAGTCGAAACCCGACTCGGAGACTGAGCCCAAAACAGTTAACTGAATATGCCTAAGAGCAAAATCATAAGAGCTCGAACGTCGGCTTATACTAAAAGGTCGTACCGACCTAACACGTACGAGCCTAAGGGCCAGTTTGGAAACCAAAAACATGAGGTCCAACGAGCTCGGAGACTGAGCGCGAAACAGTTAACTAAAAAATGCCTAATGGCACGTGCGTGATAGCCACTATCGCTGGCCTAAACCGCCAGCTTAAGTCAAAAGGTTGTGCCAACCAAATACGCAAAGGCCACGGGCCAGCCTAACAAAGCTTTAGGGCCAAATATTATACCTAAGGGTCATTACTCGAGGTCCAGTTCACCTGGTCAATCATCAACTGACATATATATTCAAAACGAAGAAAGGCGTGCACAAACAGAATACATGGAAGATGAAACCTAAAGGTTTT